AAATTTATTTTGTAGGTGTGAAAATATTTCAGACTAGATAAAACCGATTCAAGGGTCATCTGCACAAGATGATGGGGAAAAGGTTTGTACCCCCTATGTTTTAACGGGCCACTGGCACTTAAAGAATAGAGGTGTGTGCACGATCGACTTTAAATTCCTCTACCCGGGACCGTCCTGAAACATCTCCAGATACTGTACTGAACCTTCTCCAGGTACTGTACTGAACTGACTCCAGGTACTGTACTGAACTGTCTCCAGGTACTGTACTGAAACACTTCCAGGTACTGTACTGAAACACCTCCTGGTACTGTACTGAAACACCTCCAGGTACTGTACTGAAACACTTCCAGGTACTGTACTGAACTGTCTCCAGGTACTGTACTGAACTGTCTCCAGGTACTGTACTGAAACACCTCCAGGTACTGTACTGAAACACCTCCAGGTACTGTGCTGAAACACCTCCAGGTACTGTACTGAAACACCTCCAGGTACTGTGCTGAAACACCTCCAGGTACTGTACTGAAACACCTCCAGGTACTGTACTGAAACACCTCCAGGTACTGAGCTGAAACACCTCCAGGTACTGTACTGAACTGTCTCCAGGTACTGTACTGAACTGACTCCAGGTACTGTACTGAAACACCTCCAGGTACTGTACTGAAACACTTCCAGGTACTGTACTGAACCGTCTCCAGGTACTGTACTGAAACACCTCCAGGTACTGTACTGAAACACCTCCAGGTACTGTACTGAAACACTTCCAGGTACTGTACTGAACTGTCTCCAGGTACTGTACTGAACTGTCTCCAGGTACTGTACTGAAACACTTCCAGGTACTGTACTGAACCACCTCCAGGTACTGTACTGAAACACCTCCAGGTACTGTACTGAACTGTCTCCAGGTACTGTACTGAACTGTCTCCAGGTACTGTACTGAAACACTTCCAGGTACTGTACTGAACCGTCTCCAGGTACTGTACTGAAGCACCTCCAGGTACTGTACTGAAACACTTCCCGGTACTGTACTGAAACACTTCCCGGTACTGTACTGAACCGTCTCCAGGTACTGTACTGAACCGTCTCCAGGTACTGTACTAAAACACCTCCAGGTACTGTACTGAACCGTCTCCAGGTACTGTACTGAACTGACTCCAGGTACTGTACTGAACTGACTCCAGGCACTGTACTGAACTGACTCCAGGCACTGTACTGAAACACCTCCAGGTACTGTACTGAACTGTCTCCAGGTACTGTACTGAACTGTCTCCAGGTACTGTACTGAAACACCTCCAGGTACTGTACTGAACTGTCTCCAGGTACTGTACTGAACTGTCTCCAGGTACTGTACTGAACTGACTCCAGGCACTGTACGATACTGAGAACCAGGTACTACTACTGAACTGACTCCAGGCACTGTACGAAACACCTCCAGGTACTGTACTGAAACACTTCCAGGTACTGTACTGAACCGTCTCCAGGTACTGTACTGAAGCACCTCCAGGTACTGTACTGAAACACTTCCCGGTACTGTACTGAAACACTTCCAGGTACTGTACTGAAACACCTCCAGGTACTGTACTGAACCTTCTCCAGGTACTGTACTGAACCGTCTCCAGGTACTGTACTGAACCGTCTCCAGGTACTGTACTGAACCGTCTCCAGGTACTGTACTGAACTGTCTCCAGGTACTGTACTGAAACACCTCCAGGTACTGTACTGAACTGTCTCCAGGTACTGTACTGAACTGTCTCCAGGTACTGTACTGAACTGACTCCAGGTACTGTACTGAAACACCTCCAGGTACTGTACTGAACTGTCTCCAGGTACTGTACTGAACTGACTCCAGGTACTGTACTGAACTGACTCCAGGCACTGTACTGAAACACCTCCAGGTACTGTACTGAAACACCTCCAGGTACTGTACTGAATTGTCTCCAGGTACTGTACTGAACTGTCTCCAGGTACTGTACTGAAACACCTCCAGGTACTGTACTGAACTGTCTCCAGGTACTGTACTGAACTGTCTCCAGGTACTGTACTGAACTGCCTCCAGGTACTGTACTGAACTGTCTCCAGGTACTGTACTGAACTGACTCCAGGCACTGTACTGAACTGTCTCCAGGTACTGTACTGAAACGCCTCCAGGTACTGTACTGACACACCTCCAGGTACTGTACTGAACTGCCTCCAGGTACTGTACTGAACTGACTCCAGGTACTGTACTGAAACACCTCCAGGCACTGTACTAAAACACTTCCAGGTACTGTACTGAAACACCTCAGGCTATATGTACTAAGTCTCCAGTACTGTACTGAAACACCTCCAGGCACTGTACTAAAACACTTCCAGGTACTGTACTGAACTGACTCCAGGTACTGTACTGAAACGCCTCCCGGATGCTGCTGTAGACATCCTCCTGCCATCATTAAACTATAAGGAGTTTCTGCGACATGCTGCGCTCTCAGTTAGAGAAGATGACCCGTTGAGTGGTCTTAATAGAACAAAACAAACCCCAACCTCTAATACAAACACAAGACTCTTCATCGATCTTTGTTTCCTTTTCTAAAACATTTACAGC